CGAGCCACGCGCAGCCCTCACCGGGGGACAGTCCGAGCCACGCGCAGCCCTCACCCGGGGGGACAGTCCGAGCCACGCGCAGCCCTCACCGGGGGGACAGTCCGAGCCACACGCAGCCCTCACCTTGTGACCCTTGTAGTAGTATGCAAGCAGCTGGGGCATCCGGTCAATCTCGGTGAATATCTTCACAAATGCTTTGGCCTGATCTAAAGGAGAACACCACAAAATGTGTAACTGCCGTTACCAGGTTTTCTGCTGCAGCCGCGAACAAGTATTCCCCAGGATAATTGTGGATTTATGTCAACCATTCTTGAGAAGTTCTAACACTCAGGTATGAGGATCACAAATACGGAAAATAAGTAACATGAAGGAGAAGCGGTGACACAATCAGATACCACAGCATCGGCTTGGTCAGAATAACCCGCAGTGTAGGTCACATTCTATGCCAGAAACGTACTCGTCACATGTGAACAGCATGAGTTTACCTCAGGGCTGGGATGGGGTCAGGGGTTATTAAGTCGGAGGGGCTCCCACTCTCTGGGCGTGAGGGGCAAGGTGAGCGCCCCTGACATTCCGTTCTCTGGACAACCACCTGCCTCCCCTGAGCTGGTCCTAACAACTGATCGCGCTCCTGGATCAAAGCAGGCCTGCAGCACTTCTCAAGTCCACCTCTCTCCTTCCCCTCTAAGTCAGCTTGAACTGAAACAATTTTGTTGTTTATTGCCAAAAGCATTCCAAAGAGACACACACCTCGTGTGAGGAACAAGTGGTCCCTGTTCTTTATCCCATCACCCAAGGTGTACTGTAGACAGCTAATGGGTTCTTAGCATTTCACCTTAACAACTGATTTTCAATTACAAACAGGAAAACAACACGACAAACTAGAGCACCGGTGGGAAGCCAGCATAGGCACGGACAAGAAAAAGCAACAGTCCCTGAAGTTTCATTTCTGTTGCCTTAGCATATGGCTTTACATTCTATTTAGATGTAAAAGGATGTGTCACAAAATAACCTGCACATAGGACATGTCATAGATATCTGTTAAGTGAAATAAAGAAAAAGTGTTCTTCAATGTCCCCCCAAATCACCTCCCCCTAAATAGTCTACAGGATGTCACCCCACCTGCTCCAAGAACAGGCCTGTGCCCAGCAGAGCCACTCACTCTGCTCTGCTCACTGTGCCCGGAGAAACTCTACAGAAACAGGGGTGTCCTCACAACACCCAGAAACAGCAAAGGTCTCTGATCCGCACAGCAGGCACAGTGCTGTGAGAATGCTGTGAACAGGCCAGTGCCCCTCACTCACACCCAGGACGTCTTCCAAAGCCTTTCCAGGGACGCAGCCTTCTCTAAGGCAGGGCTCCCGCTGCCCCCGAGGGCACCCTCCCCCCATCAACAGCTTCTCAAGACTAAGGGAACATGTTCACATCACTCTGACAGATGGAGATAAAAAGAAGACCCCAAGGGCCTCCTGGTGGTACAGGGGTTAAGTCTCAACGCTGTCAAGCTATCAGCAGCCAATGTGGCCTGAGTTCGATCCCCAGCCTGGGAGGTGACCCACATGGCACAGCAGACCCCTCCTGACCCGCCTGCTGCTCCCCTCAGCAGTGTATTTCATCAGTCAGCCTGTTCTGCTTCCCACGCTGTGTCTGGTGAATCCTCTCAGCACCCCCCAAACTTTGGCCTACACAAAGCCTTAAATATTAAACTTATATACTTTGCATGAAAAGATTTATGGACACACGCAGGGGGAGGGTGGTAAAACTGAAAGAAAATACTGTCATCTCTGGATAGTGACTTTCCTAACCAATCATGTTCTATTTTGTAATTTTCAAATTTTAAATAACTGCTATTACTACTTTTACAATCAGAAACATTCAAAAAACGTTTAACTCAGCTCTCTTTGAAGGCTAAGAGACACTAGCTCTTCCGCAAAAGCTCCTTGAGGCCCTTCACCGCAGGGAGGCCTGCCACGAGTTCCCATTCCACCTCATGTACTAGTTCTGCCCAGCCTCACCCTCAACCAAGCTGCAAGGTCCTTGAAGGCTAGCAACTGTGTGCTATTCATCTTTCTATTCCACTCCGCTCCTCACACGATTAATATGTACAAGTTGGGCACCTCTGAAAATTCCAACTCTGATTATGCCAGGTGGGAGCTGTAAAAAAAGCAAACAAGCTGAACTCCTATATGTTGACATATTTGATGGCTTGAGGAATAAGCAAATAATGTGGTAAACATGAGCATTCCACACATAGCAAAGAACTCAAGAGCCACATCTGGGATCTAATATCAGGTCGTTTCTCAGATCTTCCCCTTGGGGCAGAAGAAAAGGCTAAACAAAGCCCTTGCTCCCAGACTTAATTGCGGAAAAGATCCTCGATCAGCAGCCAGGGTCCCAGCACAGCACACCTGGCTCCCATCTGCCCCCTTCTGGTCAAATGGAGACACCACACCTTCGAATTAAATTTAAAAGAGGATTTAAAAAAAAAGACATTGAGTTAACAGGTGCGTGACGTTTTTCTGCTCTGTTGTCCTCCATTTCTAGAAAAATATATAACAGCAACCACTGTGGAACAAAGCCAGCTACACCTTGGAGAAGTGGCAGTAGATCTCACTTCAATGGGTGGAAACCCATGAGTTGGAAAATGGCTCTATGGCTATAAAATGCTTATTATTGTCACAAGATCCTTTAAATTAATGAGTCTTCCTGCTACGTGTAAAATTAACCTACAAAGAGATGCTTCAGTTTATCCACTGAACTCACTGTTGTGTAAGATGAATGTGCACATAGTTGGAGAGTCAGAGATTTCCTTTTAAAAGCTATTAGGTAAAGCAGCACTGTGGCCACCCGGAGGATGGTTGACTAAAGAGAGTAATACTTTGGGAGGGTTACACATTCCTGAGATTTACCAAACTGGTCACCAAAACCAAAGTGCAAGGCCGTTAAGCTGCCCTGAAGCCAGGGAGACGCCTGTACTGTAACGTGAGAGGATGCCAGATAGTCAGTGACCTTGGCCACAGGTGATGAATGCTGGCAGAGCTCTGGGCAGACAGCTGGAGGAGGGTGGGAGAACGGCAGAGTGGGGAGCAAAGGGGGCCTGTCTGGGCCTGAGGGAAGGCCTGTTTCTGCCTCAGCCCAGCAGCAGGGACAGCCCAAGGGGCTCAGAAGTGTCATTTCTGTCTTCTTTAGCATGCCACCAAAAAGGGTTGCATCTGGCATTAAATCTGATTCAAAACTGAACAAAAGCTGTCAAAATGGCTGAAACCCCCCAAATCAAAACCCAGACGTTATCATTGAAATCTGATGCCCACCTCAAGTGGCCAGCTCACCCAGAAGGAAAGTCCAGAAACTTAAGTTTAAGGAGCCAGAACCTCCCTGCCCTCCAACTCCTACTTCTTCAACCCCACTTAACTAGACGTACACCGCAAATACACCGGTGAGTTTCATGAGTGTGTGGCTGTAACAAATTTATATAGTAAATATAAAAATATTTACCATAAAAAAAATTATATATATATATCTATAAAATGAATAGCTGTGAAGGTCAGAAAACAGATCCAGTACTGTTTCTTCTGCCTGACCAACAATTGCATGGAGAAAAGGGAAAGGGAGAACCGATAAACTTTTTCCAAAAAAAAAGTCAAAGTGTAATAATAGATCATATATTGGTGCCTCGTAGTAGATGAGGTATGATAACTAACATGCACTTGTATGTTACCTGAACCTTCACCTCTAAAACACATATAATGTTACATATCAATACAACCTCAATAAACAAAATTTTATTTATTTATTTTTAGATTTATTTATTTATACATACAGAAGTGGGGTACAGGCCAGAGGTACAGGGGGATGAGAGGGTTCAGCAGAGACAGAGTGGGGAGCAGAACAGGCCAACTGACGAAATACACTGCTGAGGGGAGCAGCGGGCGGGTCAGGAAAAGTCTGCTGTGCCGTGTGGGTCACTTCCAAGGCAGGGGATCAAACTCAAACTGAAGCGGCTGTGGCCAGCTTGCAGTGCTGTGCTTTAACCCACTACGCACCAGGGAAGGCCCAATAAACATAATTTTTAAAAAAACATGAAGATGAACCAGGCAGGGACTCTGGTCCTGAGGCAAGTGTGGTCAGGGAACAATACTAGAGAGGGACAGTCCAGAGAGGCTTCAGGCTGGACTGTGATAGAGACCCACAAGGAAGGTGGTATAATGACCATTGTCAAGTGTGACATGGTCATTAAAATAGTAAAATGGTCACTTGTTTTCAAAAAACTATCATAATGTTCTTGGTAAAGGTCAAACTTATCAACTAGTATACTTAAGATATATGCATTTCTCTAAATATAAATTTACCTCAAAAAAAAAAGGGGGGATCGGGCCCTCCCTGGTGGCACAATGGGTTAAAGCACAGCACTATGAAGCTACCACAGCCACTTCAGCATGAGTTCAATCCCCGGCCCCGGAGCTGATCCACATGGCACTGCAGGCCTCTCCTGTCTCTCCTGCTGCTCCCCTCAGCAGTGTAATTCGTCAACTGCCTGTTCTGCTCCCCACTCTGTCTCTGGTGAGTTCTCTCACCCTCCACACCTCTGACTTGTTCTGTATGCATAAATAAATAAATCTTTTAACAAAGGGATCTTAATTAACCTGAACTCTAATTTTTAATATGAACACTGAAATATTAAAGAGTGGAAAGCCGAAATGCCTGCCAACTCTGAAATGCATCCAAAAAATCAGACAGAGAAATGGGCAGCTATGTGATGCAGCAAATAGGGCAAAATGCCAATGCATCAAGTATTCACCACACAACCATTTCAGCTTTCCTGTACACTTGAAAACTTCTATATAAAATGCTCTGGTCGGGGGAAGACAACCCCATTAGGTCACAGATTTACTTTCAGTCCACATGATTTAATCACTATCAAGACACTCCTGAAGACTCACAGAGGGGGTTCCACAGAGACAAGAGGTGACCACACCTACCTACGGACTGAGCAGCGAATACAGACACTATCTGGGGGCTCGCCAATGCCTCCAGCCTGTTCTTCAAAGCCTCCAAGTGCACACACTTCTCCGAGTAGTCTGGAGTATCCACAAGCATCATTAAGCTGTTCTGCATACCCGTTAGCTTGGCAGAAATCACACCCACATCCTAGAACAGGATAGAGGATATTCACTTCAGAAGTCCCTAACGGTTTCAATTAAAAATCATTAAAAATACATGAAAAGGTGATTCATAACATAAGAAAACTACCCGTAAACATGTTATGTTCACTGTTATCAGCATATAAATTAACGCAAATTAAAACAAGGAAATGCTTCTTCCAAATACTCCCTCTTTCCAGACTAGGAACCTTCTTGGCCAGCTGAGGGAGTGATACTAAAGGCCAGGCCTGCAGGGCGGGCGCCACACCACTGTTTAGTAGCCCCTGCGGCCTGAGGGAAAGGCTATGTCAGGTGCTCTCCACCCTCAAGCCCCTGCCTAAATGGCCCTAATAAGAAACCTACTTGAGTTTTAAAAGTCTCCTCGATGTCGGCACTCAACGTGCTCCACTTATCTGCTTCCTGGAGCGATTCCACAGCCAGATGCATCCTGGACTTCACCTGGTCGATTTCGACCAAAACCTACAAGAGGAAAGAAGGGTCACTAAGGCAGTGGGGGTTCCCTTTTCTCTACCTACTGCCTGAGTCTTCAAACATAAGCAGCATGGCACACCCCTATCTTCAGGGAGCCTCTGTACCCCTTCCCCCACCTATCATGCTGCTAAGTCTGTCGCACAACAAACAATCCAAACAATCGGGAAGAACCAAGCCAAAAGGCAGCTTGCCTCTTGGCAGAATTAATTCCGGGTCAAGCTTGGCCTCCACTGAGTGCGAACATCTTCCCAGCACAGGAATCAGCATTCAGCATTCGGGGCGGTGCTCACCTGCATCGACTGAGATGTGTCCTGTTCAAACTTTTTAATATCCTCCTTGACCAGAATCATCTGTTCTTTCAGAAAAGACGCCTCCTGCTTAAGGGCTTCGACATCCCGGAGCACTTTGGGCATGTTCTGAAGGGCCTGGAGACTCGTTTCTGCAGCAGGGTAAGCACAAAAGGTAAAAACCAGCCCCGTCCCCAGTGAGCAACAGGAGTAAGTGGCACAACAGGAAGGAAATGTGCCCCACAGCACTGCCAACCACACAGTTCTCCCAGCCTATGGAAAATGGGGGGAGGGGACGGTAATGACAGTGAGGGCAGGTATTTAACAAGGAACAAGCCCTCAGTCTGTTCCATCATCAACTATTTCCTTTGGAAACAGGAGAAGGAAGGAATCAGACTCTGAGAAAAATATCAGGGATGCGCCACGTGCTTTACCTAAAGCCTCATCACTTGATGCCCCTGGCAATCAGCAGCGGCCCCTCAGGCCTGTCGCCAGCACTGCAGACCATTAAGCATAGCTGGATCCTTCCATGTGACCTTCCCCACCACTGAAACAACTTTAAAAACAAATCCCACCAATTTCCAAACATTCCAGGGGTAGAGGTCCGGGGCAACATTACCAGCCCTGAAGGAGGGCCACTCATTAATATATATATATATATTATATATTATATATATATGCCATTATATTATATATATATTATATATATGCCAAAACCAGCATCTGGCATACAGCAAGGACACAAATATTCACTATTGTATTCCTAATGCCCTCTTGGCCCTATGAGGTCTCCCCCAAAGCCTCACATGGGGGTAGCCCTTTGTGATTCTCCCAAACAAGAGGTATGCGCTCACAGCTCCTGGGTCTACCCTCAGTGAAACTAACCCTACTTAACTGTTCCCATATCTTCCCCACAAGACAGCAAGTTCCAGATTTTCAGCCCCAGTGCCCGTTCCTGACACAGGCATAGTAGTAGATGCTCAATAATCAGTAAAATCATGCAAAGTACAGCGAAGACTGAGTGAAATCAAGTGTCCTGCTCCTCCCCGCCTTTCGTTAACACCAGCCACACCTATAAAGCAAAGTTCTATTTACCGACAAGAAGCTTTCGGCTTCCATTGGACCCATTTCCCCCCCAGAACCTTGCAGAGACCAGCTGCAGAATATACAATTAAACAAGGTAAATGTAAATCTGGTAGAGGAGCTGACAAAGGTTGCTGGTATTTTTATAATTAACGCTCCCGTCACCGTTTGGGTCGGCCTGTCTCACCCTGCAGACCCGTGTCACTGCCGTACACCTGTAACAAGCTTCTGCAAACGTAAGGACCAGTTAGCAGTAATTTCGTCATCTGAGAGGCTGACAGCACCGCCCGAGGTGGCAGGCCAAGATCCAAACCAGCGACACTCCCCCAGGGGGGTCCCCCCCCCCGCGCAGCGCCCGACGCCGGGCCCCAGTGGCAGGCGCTGCCAGGCGCGGGGGTCCGCGGCCGCGCCCGCCGCTCACCCTCCACCGCGTGGTTCACTTCCTGGATGAACAGCTGCAACTTCATCACCAGCGTGGCCGCGTGGCTGTCCGCCTTCCCCGCCGCCGCCTCTTTGGGGCCGGCCCTGAAGGCCGCGTTGATCCACTCCTTCACGTCGAAGTCTTCGGCCAGGAACTTGGAGAAGTCCATGGCCGCGCCGCCTCAGGCCTGTCAGCCAGGCCGTCAGAGCTGGCTCCGGGCGGCCACTCGCAGCAGGAGCCGACGGGCTGGGAGGCGGCACCACGGAATCCTCGGCACCAGCCACTCGCCCCCCGCGGCTCCTCGACCAGCGCCTCCAGGGAGCCGGCTGGAAATGACCCTCGTCGCGCGCCGTAGCTATTCCGGAAGTGGGTGGCCGTTACCATAGAGACTGCCGGCGCGTCCGGGAGCCGAGCTTGGACGAGACGCCGGGGGCTGAGAGCGGCCGGCAGGTGTTGTGAGGCTGGCGCCTCTGCAAACTTACAGCGCTTGAGCACTTAATTATGTACTTATTCTAAATTAGAACGCCTAGTCCTCACTGTCCCATGCGTAGTATTTGAGTTTAACATATCGGAACTTAGTGCTTTTCTGTACATATTGAGGCCACCCTATAGTTTTTGTCTTACTGTCTTCATGCGATGTTTTACGTAGTATTTATTTTTGAATGGTAAACCGAGCTTGCGTTCCTGGGATAGACTCTACTTAGTCATGATGTATGATCTTGTAACCAGATTTGCTTTGCAAAAAATTTGTTGAGTGTTCATCTTCATAGGGGAAGTTAATCTGTAATATTGTCTTTGTGGAAGCTTTCTCTAATTTTCATTTAAGGATAAATAGTGACTTCATAGGCAGGGTTGAGAAATGTTCCTTCCCTACTTTGAGTTTGCAAATTTGGTGCCTTCTTTAAAAATTTGAGGGAATTCAAGGTGAAGCCATCTGGGCCTGACCATTTCTTTGTGGGAAGATTTAAACTTAATTTGGGTTGACTTAATGATACTTTTAGAAGAAAGGGGGTAACTTGATGAATTGGAATGAGGAATGAATGGAATGATTCTTGAGGTGAGTGAGCAGCTGTGGATGGGAGTGCCAAAGTTGAATATGCACCCATTTCCTTCCTTGCTTCATTTATTCTTCCCTATCTAGTATATTAAAGTGGAACCATAGGTTAGAAACCACTCTTCTTTTCTAACACTGGCTTTCAAACTATAACACCATGACAAAAATGCCAGTCCTAATGAGTTGGGGCAAAGGAGGAGCTGGAGGCAGCCTCAGGAAAGGGCAGATTACAAATGTTCTTCACCAGACTTCATGAGCTTTTTGAGTATAAACACTCAACTGCTCTCTATCCTTTTTGATTTCCAGAGTGCTGAAGTGGTCAAATCTGTCTAGGTAAGTTATAGCTGCTTTTTGGAGAGGATTTGCCAGTCTCCTTACGTACGGGACCATAGCCACAAGTTCCACCCACTCTGTGAGACATGCCAATAGCAAGTCAACCCTCCCTTTATGGACCGAATATAGGTGTGTCAGAAGCAAAACTCCCACATGAAGACCACCTGGGCGACCTGTGCCTGAAGAGCTCTTTTCTAGACATGTAGGGAATGTTGTTGGAACTAGAAAGAATAGTTACTAAAAGATTCAGCCCTCTTCTCAGTGCCTCTGGGGCACCTGAATCTGGTTAATACATTTCCCTGCTACCCCATGCGTTAGGAAGTGTGCCAGCCTATCATATCACAGTACAAAGTATAAAAGTTGCTATCAAAGGTATAATATTGTCTGGCAGGTGTGTCTGTCCTATGAGCAGAGCACACATTGACAGGTTCTGGGGGAAATGCCTGGTGATCAGAATCTACTTGCAGTTTCATATCAGGTAACTGGCAGAGAACCAGGTTTGCTAGAAGAATCGGTGGCTTTCTTCTGTGTCTGAAAGCCCTCTCCATATCTACTAGACAGATTCCTAGACCAGCAAGTCCAGACCGGCTAGTACACAGCATCCCTCCATCCACTTGAAAACAGAGTACTGGATTCCTTACACGGTTATACTAACAGCTTAAAATTTGCTTTCTCTTACCCTTCTGTTTTAATCTTCACAGCAGTTGGAATTAGGGGCAGTATAATTTCCATTTTCAAAATGGAAACTGGTCCAAACTAGGCTATACTATGAAGAAATTTGAATACTAGCGAAATTGGTTTTAATTAACCCAAAAAGGAAGGTAGGAACCTTCACAACCCCCTACCCCTCTGCCCTGCACCCAGGTTAACTTTAATTTAAAAAAAAAAAACAAAAACTATTTTAGCCTATACTGGAAGTTTAGGGAGAGAAATGAGGGAATGTCAGTCACAGAAGTCACTAGGACTGTGTGGCAGATAATGCTAATAACCCGACCCTGGGTCTCCCTCACCAGTTTAGAGCCTCCCAGCATGAAGGCAGTTCCCAGTGTCCTTTCAAAGTAGGTGTGTTCCTGTAGCCAAGTCCTGGCCTTCAGGATGTGAGCAGGACTTTCATGTGCTCTTAAAAGAATGGGGTATACTTTACTCCTCCCCTTCTTTTCTACTGGCTGGATCTAGATCTGGTAGCTAGAATTGTAATGGCCACCCTGAACCACTAAGTGTTCTTAAAAAGGGATGGCACGTTGCTACAAGAAGACTGAAGGCTTCTAGCAGCAAGATCAATAGCAGCCCCACTTTTGCTCCCTCGGGGGTTCTTGAATTTGACTCTTGAACCGAATCTCTCCCCTCAAAAGAAAAAGAGATCAAGGTCTCAGAACGTGACCTTATTTGGCAAGTGTCATTGCAGCTGTAACCAGCTGGGATGAGGTCACACTGAAGTAGGGTGAACCCTGAAAACCAGCATGATCAGTAGCTTTCTAAAGGTCTTCTAAGCGTACTGTGTGCAGATACACAGGGAGAATCTACATGACCACAGCAGAGATTGGACTTACTCAGCTGCAAGCCAAAGAATGCCAAAAATGCTGGCAAATTACAAGAATTCTAGAGATTTCAGAAGGGGCATGCCCTTGATCAGACTTCTAGCCTCCAGACTAGCCAGGCAATCCATTTACTCAATTTACAGTAATTTGCTACAGCAGTCCAGGAAGCTAGCAGTGTGTCACCTTTTGTGCAAGCCATGGTTACTTTGGGTTTTTTTTTTTTTTTTTTTCATTTCTTGCTACTTCTAATTTTATCCAACAATAGGAAGTGGTTAAGATTTTGTCAAAAGCATCAAGTATTTTTGCTACCTCTCAATTAGGTTATTGCTATTCTTAGCACATCATTGTTTTCATGAGAAATGTGAAATGCACTGAGTGACAAAATGTGAAATGCACTGCTGTCCAAGTGGTAAGTAAAAACAGGAGGAACCTCAGGTGAGGTGACATGCTGACAATAGCACCTTCATGTGTAGAGTATCTATCAGGTCTGGTATTTGTCTACTTTGTCATATTCTCAACAAAACCTATGAAGGACACTTTTAACAATTAATATAAAAACTGAGCCTCAGAGATTCTAAGTAACTTGCCCAAAATATCACATGGCAAAACTAGAACTTTGCCCCCAAAGCCCGTCCTTGTTCCACTATCCCAAGCAAGGCAGGAGGAAGATGGCTCCCATCAGGCCCACTGGGAAGAGCCCCAGGGAGGGAAGCGGCAGGAACGGTTCAGTATGGCACACTTTCAACACAGAATAGCTGAATCCCTCAGGCCGACTCAGGCTAGGGCCGAAACCAGCTATACGCACAGTTCACACTGACAATGGCAGTGACCGCCAGGCCAGCTACATGATCACATGGGGAAAAGCCACCTGCAGGGCAGCTCATTTGCTCCAACACGCCGAGGACTTCTCCGAGGTCAGGTGAGGGACTAGGATATTGTCTCTTTGTAGGGTAATCGGGCAGGTGCAAAGAATTTCCACTTTCTATAACTTTGAAAAACATTGAGCAGTTTTCTCAGCCTAGAAATTTTACAAAGTGCAGCATGTAAAGAAAACTCATCTGGAATTCTGACAGGACTGCTGTCACATAAGCTTACCAGTATGTGGGATATTTTAAAACTGAGGTCATATAATAAGCCTTTTTTTTAGCCATGGTTCAGGGGCTTTTTTCCTCAACAGACTGTGCAGACTGATCGTTTACAATACTGTCTCCCTTTCTTCCACAATACCCCAAGCCCAGTCTCGTGTGGGTGTGGGGTGGCAGTGCATGCAAGTGGCGATTTTCAGCCTCTTTGCACAGAGATGTGCCTTCTAGATCTACATGTAGTTACCGGAAAACTCGGGAAACCTTTAAGATCATTGGCAGGTTTCCTTGGCTTAGCTGAACAGCAGCTAAAGTGACCACCCCATAACAGGCCGGAGGAGCTGGCCCTTACATTAGGTGAGCGTGGTTGGAGCCTGGGTCCCTCGTAACTGAGAGGCTCATACCAGAAGTGGCTGGGGTTGTTTCTGGCCTTGTGCTTAGACGCCTGTGGCCTTTCCCTGTGAAACACGACGCTGGTTGACTTCGTCAGGAATAAACAGTGAGAGACATAATATGCCTTTTTCTGTATCTGCGGAGATGATCAGATAGTCTTTTTCAGCTATTAATTTGGTTAACTGCATTTCTAGAAGATGCTCAGTACAGTATATCCTTTTAACATGCCACCAGTTTTAAAGTTTATTTTGCCTATATGTTCAAAAACAAAAACGAAGTTACCTGATTCTGGAGTCAAGTTACAAATTTGAGAATGCATGGCTTTGTTTACAGATCTGTCACTCCTGCAGGAAGACAGGACTTTCTGCTATACCCCCAGTGCCTACAACTGTGCCTGGCTCCTGGAAGTTGGTGAATAACTACCTGAACAGCTAGGGGCTGTTTTTTCCGAGATGGGTGAACTGATAATTAGCAGAACAAACAAGGGTCACTTTTAGGACACATACACCTGCCTATCCTGCCCAACTCTACTAAAGCAGACCACCACTGGGGGGTGGGGGGGTTGTCTTCCAGAATACAGAATGTCTAGACACACTCAAGCTCACGTTTGAGTATGAGATAAAAGTCGCCTCTTTCATGTATCGGTCTCACTCACACATGTGGATGCAAATTCTTTGTAGGTAGACCTGCCACCACCATGAGTCAGTCCCTCTTGACTATAAACAGCTACAGAGCCTGGAAAAGCTACACAGAACATTTGAACATCAAACTTATTTTTGATCAAAATGAATCCTAGGTGATTTATGCCACAGGAAGAAACCACCCCATCAATTCATGCTTTATACGTGTTCACATTTGCTTAAAAATTAGCATACCCTGATGCTCTTTTACAGCTCCAGCCCCACCAGCTACATGCAGAGGTTGAAAGATTAGACTGTGAAGATTAGACTGTTACAAAGAGCCTCAAACAGAGCCTTGCAGTTTCTGAGGTAGAATCCTGTCCAGTGAGGTGAGCTGCTCAGACTTTAGTCCATCAGGCCACATCAGCAGACAGCTTTCTTCTCACCAGTGAAACCAAGCTGGACTTGTAAAACATGCACAAGGCACCCAGTACTGAGTAGGTACTAAGTACTAGTTGATAATAAGCCTGAATTTTTTTCTTCAAACCACAAAAGTGACAAATATCCACCTCTTTTCCATCTTTGATCAGCTCCTCGGAGCTTCTCTTCACAGAAGCAGTTCTTAAGCTTTCGCGTCCTTCATGAAGTCTTCCTTACTTCCTCAGTAACTGTAAGTTCCTTGAGGTCTACCAGCTCCAAGTGCAATAGAGTATGCATCTCATACTCATGCAAAACCCCACGAAGTGTACTTGCTACACAGATGTTTATTCAGTGACTTTCTATATTCAGCCATCACATCATTGCTAAGCTCTCTATACCCATGGCATCATAGTTCTCTATCTCAGATCGCAAGGGCGAGCCTGTTAGCTATGACTTAGCAACACAAAGACTGACATGTGTCACAAGTGAATGTTTGTGGAGAAAGATGAGGGTGGAAATGAGGGTCCTGAGCAAGGGCCCCGACAGGCTGCCAAACCCAGGGAACCTGAGGCCCAAGTAACCCCTGGCATCTGCTTTCCCTTGGCCCTGGAGGTCCCTCTATGGGTGACGGAATCTAAGGCACAGTGGTGAAGGACATGACTGGCCCACCAGGGTGGGCCTCTGCTCTGGCAGCAGCACGTGCCCGGGGAACAGCACAAAAACCATTCCGTTTAGATGGCACCGAGCACAGGCAAGCAGCAGGCTCTAATGGAAATGGAGACAAGGTCTTTCTCGGAAGAGAGTATCCCAGGAGATACTCTCCACCCCAAGACCAACCAGGTCCCTTTTAAGGTCCCTGAGAAAAGCAGCCTGGGAGCAAACCAAGACTTTCAAAGGCTGACAAGGCACAGAGTGGATGAATGAGAAGATAACAAATACATGGGTAGGGGAAAAACAACTTTGGCTTGTAAAACCTCCAACTTGAGGGAGGGATATCACTGTCCACCAACATGCAAGAACAGGTATGATTATAGCAGATGGTTATCAAAACTGTTTAGCATTTCCCACACTGTCCACATCCCAACCCTGCTCTATCCTCCCCCCTCACCCAACACACACACACACATAGTCTGCAGAGTATGAGGCTGGCATCCAGAGGCTGAAGTCAGTTTCAACTTGGCACTCTGCACTGAATCATCACTGATGAGTGCCATCCAGAGAGGAGACATCAGCCTGAGCTTGAAAGGCAGAGTCTGTCTTGTGGAGAGCTAGGCCGCACCCAAGGCTGCTGGGTCTGGAAAGTCTCTCACTTCTCCCACTTCACTGAACGGCTGTCCACCCTGGTTGAATGTCAGCTTATACCGTAACCGGATGGGCTCCTGGGCAAAGACATAGATGTTAGATTACTGGGGCATAAAACAGAGACCAGACCAGAGGAAGTCTTTACCCACCCAACTGTCACCAAGGAAAAGCATGTGCGCGTTAACTCCACCCACAGGGCTTTCAACAGCTGCATCCAGAAACACCCTGGGCTAGACACTGTGGACCCAAGCAAGAAGGGAGCCAGGCTTACTACATCCTGGAGGCTTCCCACACGTAGGCATAGCTGGGAGGGATCACAACTCAGAGCCCGCTAAGGAAGATAGGCCTCACTTTTCAGAGGCACAGGGCATTAGGGAGAGTTCATGTCACTGCCTTGGTTCCCAGCTATGACAATGTACAAATCTTGTTTCAATAAACCCCAAAGGAAAACAGACTCTTGCAAAGGACAATCCACCACCACTCCCCACCAAACCAGAAACTACTCCTACCTCCCAAGAGGCCACTAGTGCTCCAGGACCCCTCCCTCCCTGCTATCCAAGACATCAGAACATACTTTGTGTGGATTGTCAAGGAGCAGCATCTGGGAGATCACAGCTGGAGGCATCAAAGGGCTGAAGGCAGGGAGCTTGGAGCTGGATGCGGGCTGCAGTTTCGCTCTCATCGACTGGGGACAAAGCCAACACGTAACTCATCCTAGCAGACAACAGGAACAGGAGAGCTTTCCCTCCGCCTGCTGATGAAAGGGCCCAAAGGCTTCTCCTCACACAGAACGTATCTGAAGTTGTGTGTCCCACGTAGTTTCCAAAAGGCAAGAGGGTGGACACATCTTGGGTTGAATTCTGATTACCTCTTACTAGCCCGATTAATTGTGAGCAAAATATTTAAGCTTTCCGCATCTTGGACTGATAATTTATAAAACAGAGGAGGTAGTGAATACGTGCCCCAGGTTGTTCCCAAGATTAGAGAATACTTTACTTTTGTCTGCCCTGGACCTTGCCCCTCAGGTCATAACTCTTCCCTTTTTCCTGTGATTCTGTTTGATGAGGCTCTAGGGTCTAACTTCTCCTGAAAAGAAGTGACCCGTCTTGGTCAGAGCACCTCCTCTCCCTAAACACAAGTTGTGGGTCCCAAGTATGCAGGTCACGCCAAGGCCCATCTGTGTGCTCTCCTGGGTATCAATATGCATACTCATGCCACTGAGTGATCCTTTTAGGAAAACACAACTCAGGACCAGGTAACCTAATGGCTGCTAGTACCCACTTTCCTGCTTGTGGACAGTCTATGAGGTTAGATTCCCAAGAGGAAAGCAGAGTCAAGAGACAGATCTGTGGTGTCAGTTAAGAACCTGCCAGGACCCAGCCACGTCTGAAGTCAAATATGTAGGAACCCTCAAGTTAGCCAGTAAAATTTTCATTTTGTGTTAAGTTACTTTTGAGTGAAGACTCTGTCCCTTAGCCCTAACAGACAACGTCCCAGCAAAGAACCTGGTGTACAGGCCATAGCCGTTATTGAAAAGCCAGCAGATGCCTTACCTTGGGCACTGCCACTTGAAATGTGATGTCCCAGACGGGCTGGGTGGCCGTGCTCATCATGGTCAGCAGCAACACCTGCACCTCTGGGTGGCCGGGGGCACCAGTCTGGGAAAAGTGGAGCAGAATTCTGAATCCGTTCCGGTCATACACAATAACAGGCGGCAGGCTGCCTGGCAGAGAAGGACCCGAGCACAGAGTTAGCACCACCACAAAGTCCCCGCCAGCCCAGCCTGCAAGAGAAGTGCCTTCGCCGGCAGGCGCCGCAGCTCTCCCACACCACCCTCGCCCACACCCTCAGGCTCCAAGCTGCCTTCTCCCCACCATGCCACACGTGTAAATTTTAACCACATTAACCATATGGTTTGAAACACTGCATGCTTTTGATGAAAAAGATGATTAAAAGAATGTAGAGACGCTACAGAAAGAGGGTATTACAGTCCATAAAGCAAAAAATATCCTAGCTACCCAGAAATAAGTACTGCTAACACATGGGGCTATTCCTGCCTGGCCAGTTGTGTGAGATTACATACACACCCACAGCCTCTTACATTTAATTTTACCTGGCTTATGACCTTTCAAAGGAAATCCTAAGGGATTGTTTTAAATTAGGAGGATGTGATACTAGGAAACTTCACAGGAAAAAAGCTTCATAGGAAAAATAAATAGGAAACCAGCATTCATAAAAAGAGGACTAAAAAGGTAGGACTAGTTGCATTAACTAACACACAGATTCATATAAAACTGCACTCAAGCCCCGTATGTAAAGCAGAGTGCAGAACAGAACTAAAGATGAGACTCCACCATGTTAAGGACATATATTTCAAAATGACTCAGAGAGTAGCAGAAGACTGGCTAATCCTCTGCAAAGGAATCTTAACGAAGATACTTATACCAAACACCTTTTATCAACATTATAAAGTTATAGTTTAAAACAAAGCTGTCTAATATTTAAGAGACTGAAAATAACCATGAGATACAGTGATGAGGGTATGGGGGAGAAGGAAATCTTTCTGGATAGGAATTTGGAAACGCAAATCAAAATTTTAAATTTGTCTACATTCAGTATTTCCATTTTAAAAAATATATCCTACTGAAATAATCAGGAAACTATTTTAAAATGGGTGTTCCAAGATGGCATTGTTTTAAATAGCAAACAAACGGAAACAAATCATCCTTCAGCAGGGACTGAATAATGAATCAAGGTCCATCCACTTAGTGCCATAATATAGAAATTCATTAAAAGTCAAGATTTTGAAGAATAATCAAAAGCATGAACAAAAGCTAAGGGCTTATGATGTAACAGTGAACAAAAGGGAATATAAAGCCACACACACACACACACACACACACACACACACATTGTGGTGTCAGTTTACTGCAAAGCGCGTGTGTGCACATGTGCACATGGGCGAGACAGCACAACATGCATGAAGACGTTACCAGAACTTCTACCCCTGGGTGTAATGGCACAGTGGATTTTAATATTCCACTCTTTGCTAAAACTCCTACACTGGACACGCACACTGGGCTCCAGGGTCCCCTGCAGTCTAACCTCAGCAGTCACAGGAGGGCGCTGTGCCAGAGAAAGCCCAGGCCTCGGTGCTAAGGACCGGGGTTGCTCCCTGCTCACACGCCAGTGGGCTGACTGTGGGCAGCCAGCGGCTTACGTGGGCCTTCAGCTTCCTGTCTCTTTTTAGAGAGGTAATATCCATGTTCTTTTGATAAGGGTCCCTGAAGGATTCTTCATTCTTCCTTTCCTTCTAATTCTACTTCTTCCTAATCATGTCAGGCCTCCCTAAATACATTCCCCTCACAATTGCAGGTGAATGAATATCTATCTATCCCTAAGTAGACTCCAGCTCCAGCAACCGGATTTGTCTGTCCACCAGTATCCTTCATAGTATCAACCCCAGACAGAAAAAACTTAAGAAAGGCATTAGCTAAGAGTCCCATGAAACCACCTCCTACCCTCTGCTCACTCACCACCACCAATCTAAAGCCTGCCCACCCACACCATTCCAGTGTGGACAGAGCTGTGCATCTAACAAATGAAAAAGAGAATGAGAAAAACTACTTACTGGGCTTAACAGATTCCAAAGGGACAAATACTTGAGCCAGAGGTGCATTCTGGGAAGATGAAGAAGCCAGTGGGCCAGCCTCCCAGGACCAACCTGGAGAGGATTTAGTACCTGGTGGCACCTCCTTGGGAAAACTTTTCTGTGAGACATAATTCCTGCAAAGAAATTAAAAATACCAAGACTAGCAAAAATTGTAGACAATTCCAGGAAATCTGATATAAAATATGTACATACAACTATATACTATTTATTCGTATTAGAAGAAAATGACTTTTGATAAATATAACCTCAGGCTCCACAATCACTGTCACCCCACCTGGAGGAAAGTAAGTTCTGTGGGGCAGAGTCTCCAATGGCTGCATCTGTACTGAACAGGTACAAACGCTCTTTATCCTTGTCATCCCTCTCCACAGTCCAGAGTGGTAATATTCACAAGGCGTTTAAGTTGTATTAGGCATCGGGAGTGACCTACATTGGCGTCAGAAGAGCAGTTGCCCCTCAGCATCCACAAGACTGGTTACAGATCCCACTCTGCATCCCCCTCAGGACACAAAAGCTGAGGATACTCAAGTCTCTCATGTGACATGAGAGTATCTGCACATAACCTGTGCTCAAATGCCTGTGTACTTGAAACCACCTCTAGGTTACTTATAATACCTGACTCAATGTAAACAGTTGTTCATCGAGCACTGACAAGACATAATCATCGAAGGTCTCACGATACAGGGTGCAACTTTCAATGCAGAGAAGAGTGAATCCTCCGTGGGATACCCATGAATACGAAGGGCTCACTGCATACAAGAGCTGTGTGTACCTTATATGCAAATACTATGGCATTTTAACGAAGGGAGACTTGAGCATCCTGGGATTTTTGGTATCCCTGGGAAAGGTCCCAGAACCAAGCCCCTGAGGATACTGACACACACTATTAGGACCGATGTCAGTTTACCTATAACATGAGAATAAACCTTGTTATCTACCTCACAGGATTGTTGTAAGAAACCCTAGAGAAAATGTATGAAAACGCATAGTTGAGTTGTACACGTGACAAGGCCCATCCAGAGCTGCTGTTACTTTCATGGCTACTAACGCTGCAGTGTCCGTCGGTCCCTAAGAAGCAGCTCAGCCACTGAAGTTCCCATATGTGACAACGAGTGAGGCGGGTAACACAAACCCCACTGCCCCTTCCATTCATGCTTCTTTCGGATTTTGTCCATTTGGAATTCAGGTCGAATTCCAGACAGAGTAACCCATATAAATGAGAATGTGTACTGGCCTGTTCAGTGGCTGGGGGGGCGAAATGGACAGACCCCTACGGCTGCACCCAAAGCACATCCCACCCACACCATGGACCGAGCTCTACCAGGGACCATTTAGGGAACAAACTGCTTCGCCCTTTCCAATGACAAAGAAGCAGGACTGGTGAAAATGTGTTATAGGCACACACCAGAGCACCCTTCAGCCTAAGAAATCTGTATGACAAAAACAGTCCTGAGTGCGTCCAAATGGTAACCATGTAAATATCCAAAAGAGGGAAATGATCAAACTAATGAAGCTGTTAAAAAGAATGAATCAAATTTATATAAACAGATGTAGAAGTATGTCTACTGTGATGTGAAAAAAGCCACAGTGAAGTATGGTTGTAAACTGTGGTCCCATTGGTGGAGAGTAAGCCACAGTAACATCACTACGTGTACAGAAAAATAAACAAATGAAGGAACACGTTTTACTCAAATGGCAGTTGAGACCAAATTTTCCTATTATCTGTTCTCTAGGATCTGTTCATTGTAACCAAGGCAGAAAAAAACACAATCAAGACTCAAAACATCATCACCACTGCAGCTGCTCCCTAAATAACCCCATCTTCGGAGGTCCTCTCAAAGAGTGTGTTTCCCTGTGACTCAGGATGGGGAATAATGGCAAAGCGGGGAGCCCAGCTGGCACTTTCAGTAAGCAGCAACAGTCTGTTTGTGCAGGCTCGAGGCCTCCTGCCTGGTCCTTGAGCAGCAGCAGTGACTGCATCAGTAGCCACACGCTCCCCCGCCACCTGCCCAGACTCACAGTGGGGCTGGACACGGCTCCGGGGAGAGGAGATCCAGTAAGTTCCTCTCCGCAGAAGAGCGCTCGACACCATCACCTTGCAGGGGACTGGCAGTGGGATTCTTTTCCTTGCAAAAATTCTGCGCAGCAACCTGTCAAACCAGGAAAAGGATAAAGTCAGGCCACAATATAAAGGCCACAGACCTTGTGCACATGGCTCTCCCGACCCACCCAAGTCCCTGGAGCCTAGACGCTACATGTCCCGGGCAGGGGGAGGAGGAAAGGTAAGGAGATAGATCCTCAGGCTGAAGAGGACGGCATCTCAGGAGAAGTAAAGCCCCTCTGGGACTGAAGCCAGACGGAGGAGGAGAGCACGGCACCCTGGACCTCTAAGTCCATGAACACCACCAGCCCATGTGGCAGCACCTCGCCCAACAGGCAGGGCTGCCCTCGGCCAACAGGATGAGAAGCACCCCTTCCTCTCTGGCCCCAGAGCTTTCTTACCTTGCTGGTAAGTGGAGCATCACTGATTCCTGTAAGGAAGGAGCAAAGAGACATGAACACCAGTAACCCTCCCTGACACAGGTTAGACTTGCATACCAAGACAGACCTCACTACCAAATAGAGAGCTGAGATAAATCAAAATGAAGTAATTCAACTCATCCATCACAAATCCAAGACTAAGAGGACCCTCTGAAGTGCCCACCTGACTCCCTCAGGCAGGTAAAGTCACCCCAGCAGAACTAGCTGGCTGCTCTCCCTGGCACTCAGGACCACTCTCTGCTTGTTCCTCCTCTACAGCCACACTCACCTAAGGCTGCCAGGTCTTGGTGAAGTAAAGATGGTGCTACGGTCCCAGACTGCTCAGACCCACTGTCCATATCCAAGTCAATCAGTGGGCAGTTCTTCATGGAGCCCACTGGATTCTGAAAGACTAGAAAGCAGGGTTAAGTTAAAAAGTTCAAATGAGAGCAAAGCCTCTACTTCCCATAAAGTCATCCCAAAGACAACACACATCATCCCACTCTCAAAGCAGCCAAAAAAACCATCTATCTCAGCTCAGGGTCTTGAAGGACCTGGAATCTGAGGTAGCCAGGTGACTTCTTCCCTGCTCTGGCAACCTGAATCTGCTCCAATGGTCCAGTCTACCTGGACAACAGCAGAGCTGATCTCTCCAACTCCAATGTCTTTTGAGGTTTCTAACCATACTCAGAATTCCTTGGAAAGCTTGATAAAATGCAGATCCCTAAGCCCAGCTCCAAGCAGTCCTGATTCAGAAGGCTGGGCCAGAAGCCTAAGAATTTTCATTTTAGCTCATATTCCAGGAGATTCTGATGCAGCCCATCTGGCACTAAAAGCCACTAAGCGTCGTCATGTTTTAGGCCCCTTGTCCTCAAAGGTAAGGACCTACAAGAAGCAGAATCCAGCCGGGTGCGATAGACCATCTGCTTCTGTTTACAGCCCGAGCTGGGGTCCAGCTGGCAGTCAGCTCACAATAGCACAGAAGGCAGAGAGAGGCTAGCTCTCCAGAACCAGTTCTCACAGAGAGGGAAAAGGAGGCAAATTCTCTCACTTCTACACCACAGCCCGGAATATTCTGAGCTTCCATTTCTTTTCTGAGACCACTCCAAAATAAATGGCAGGGAGAGACTCTCTGCACATACCTCTGGAGACAGGTATGTCTCCTACTGAACTGGCCACGGTGCTCCCAAAGATGACACGGCCCTCCATCACCTGTTTGTATAGCAGGACTCCTTGGGTGAGGAGGTCATTTGCTTGGAGAATCTCCGCTGAAAACAAGAGAGAAGTTAGCCACTAGCAATCTTTTAGGTTCTTTTTGAAGCCATTCTACAAAGCAGCCGCCAACTGGCTCTGCCAAGTTCGATATATCAGGCCCATCCCCAGACTTGTCACTCAGCCCCTGAACCCCAACACTCAGCTCACCCAAGGTAAGAGGAAGCAATTTTTTCTTTTCTGTGCCCACACTGTCCAATGCGACAGCCAACAATTGAAATGTGAGTCCTTCACTTGAGGAACTAGAGCCTTACCTAATTCCAATTAAAGTGAAAACCTTAGCTTTTTCGTCAAAATAGATGCAAATATAGAAAATTTTGGGTAATTAACTTATTGGAAAGTTATTAAAAATATAAGAACAAACTGGTTACATGAACCTACTTGTTTTTTCACCTGTAAATTCTATAAAATCTAAATACAGATCAAGTATTCTCAATGAAAATTTGGCACCCAAATTGAAATGTTCTGTAAGATACACACTGGATTTCAAAAACTTCAACAGCACCTCTTGATTTACTGCAAAAAAAAATCTCTCCTAGGAGAGAGTGAAAGATCAACTGGGCAAGAGTCAATTTACCACACAGCAAGCCAGAGTGGGGAAGATTACTTCTCAAAAGACTGCTTCTCAGTTTATGTCTATCAGTTTCTCAACTGTGGATGGAGGCTGCGAATGGAGAGTAAGGGTTAAATTCACCAGGTAAAGTGTTTTATTTGGATGCTTAAATTTTTTTATTTGATTAACTTTGACTTCACTGCAATCTGAGAAAATATGGGTTTCAATAATAATTACATCACAGGGCCCTCCCTGGTGGCACAACGGGGTAAAGCGCAGCACTGTGAAGCTGGCCACAGCCACTGCAGCACGAGTTTAATCCCCAGCCAGGGAGGTGACCCACATGGCGCAGCACACCTCTCCTGTCTCCCCACTGTTATTCTGTCTCTGGTGAATCCTCTCACGCACACACCCCCACACACACACCTCTGGCCTGTACCCCAGTTCTGTATGCATATATAAATAATTCTTTAAAAAAATTAACACCAAAAACAAATATACGAAAGACATGTTTCTCATTCAAGAAAATATAAAAGGTGGAGGAAGAGCAGTAGGGAGCAGGGACCTAGTCACTGGAAGAGACTTAAGAAATATCAACCAGTTGGGGCCCTCCCTGGTTGTGCAACGAGTTAAAGCACAGCACTGAGAAGCTAAAGCCACTTCAGCATGAGTTCGATCCCTGCCCCAGAGGTGACCACGTGGCGCGGCAGACCTCTCCTGACCCTCACGCTGCTTCCCTCAGCAGTGTACTTTGTCATCTGCCTGTTCTGCTCCCCACTCTGTCTCTGGTGAATCCTCTCATCACCCCTGCACCTCTGGCCTATACCCCAGCTCTTTTTTTAAAAAAAGAAAGAAAGAAATATCAACCAATTATTAAGTATGGCTTTTCTTTTTGAGACCAATTTCAAAGGAACTGTGAAAAATTAAATGAAAGGGTTAACAAGAGATGGTTAGAGAGAGAAATGATCTTAGAAATCTGAACACTATTTGATCACTTGAAAAATGTTTAGAATTTGCTTCAGAATAGAATGGAGGGTTGGGGGAGTGGCAGGGAGCGCCTCAGAGAAAGCAAGATCAAACCTCGGCCACAAGCTGGTTAACTCCCAACAATACATGAGGAACATGCCGGATTAATCCTACTTTCACCCTCTGTTCTGAGAACTTTCCACAATAAAAAGTTCAAGATGTAACACCTGTGCACAGGTTTTAAAGTCCCCCGGTGTCTCCGCTTGTCACCTGCCTGCCTCTTTCAGGCCCCCTCACCCCAAAGGTGTGTAAGTGGTGAGTGAGAGGCACTGCTTGAGCTGTTCCTTATGCTGCCACAGATGGTCAGCTTCTTCACGCCTCCATGATTCTTCTTTCCTTCCTTCCTTCGTGCTCCCTCACATCCAAATCACACAGTAAGTTTCAGCCCCTTTGTATGTTTTCAAACCTGATGCTGATGTCTTAAGCCTGGATTCTTCCAGAAGTTACTCTAACAACTCAGGCATGCCCTTCCCAAGCCTAACTTCTGACTCCTTTCTGGCCCCGCAGTGGCACATCGGGAAGCTCGGTGGCTTCTCTGCACACTGAGTGTGTTTCTGCCGACAGAAGACAGTTACCGAGTGCGTCGTCATCGTCGGTGGTGTCACTCGCCAGCCGGAACAGGGTGGGCCGCAGCTTCTCGCACCTCTCGTACACCGCCTAGGGAAAGACTTGGTTTCACCACACACTGCAAACAGCACAGCAGGGCCTGGTGTTTCCGGGGTGCTCCCTAGTCTGTCCAAACCCGTCTGAAGTAACACGGCAGTCTCAGAAAACACTCGGGCTACAAATGTACAAGTTTTATAAGCAAAAAAAGGTTTAAACAGTCGACAAAGACAGATGAAAGAATCTATTGTCTCACTGCCCAAGCCCCGCATGGAACAGCTTAACAGAAAGACCCCACATGGAAGCGTAGTACTTCCTGCTTCATGACCACCATCCAAACACCCCCCCCCAACTTTTCCTCATGCTAGTGTCCCCTCTCCAACACTGCCTAGACACCCAGCGCCGAGCCTCATCCCCCTCAATAACAACAAAGAAACGGCATTGTGCTCACGCCGGAGGAGTGCTCTGGACAACTTCCACCTCCATATATGCTGAGGAAGAGCTAAGGCCTCCAGATATCTTAGTTTCCTTCCTCGCAAGGGAGTAAAAGTAATGAATCTAACACCCCACGCCCCCAAACAGGCTAGTGAAAAGACACAGCTGCTGGGTGAGTCTGGGAGAGGCGCCAGAAAGGGTCCCTTCCTCTCACTTTGCTCCTGAGCCAGTAAGGACACCTGGCTCTACTCCTGCCTGCCATAAACAGAAGAGGTCCCGGGGGACAGCGTGTGCCAGCACTGCCTCTGGTGGGAGGTAAGCCTGCCGGACTCGACAAGACGGTGCTAGCCAGCCACTTGCCAATGTCTACTTGCCACATTTCCCAAGTCATTTTGGTCTGTGTAAAGAGGAAGTTTTGTTTCCCGCTGCATGGCTCCCACCTGGGAGCTGGCTACCATCCTGGCTGGGGAACATCTGTGCTGTTTGAAAGTCAAATACGCCAATATTCCTGAAGCACCCTGGCGCTATCTCACTGTGTGAGGTCGGCTGAGGAGTGTCCACCTGGCCCAAGCCCACCAACTCTGCTGACTCCTGCTGCACACCCACAAAGGAAGGCCAGGGTGTTCCACTCTCTAATATTACCCAATCCGTGCGCAGCTAAATGACCCGTGTAGATACATAAGCCAAGCAGAGATTCTCTCAGGGGGTTAAAATTAAGAAAGAGGCTAGTTTGTTTCTGCTGACCCTGTGAAATGGAAGGACAGGTAAATTAAAGAGCCAGGTGAAGGCTATCTTATGCAGAAGCATAAAAGCTGGAATGAGGCAGGGTGGGAAGGTGGGGAGGTGAAGGGGGAAAAGAGACAGAGAGGACAGGGGTTCAGCCTGGAGAGAGGCAGAGTGCAAGGAGAAACTGACACAATGGCCTCTGGGCATCCACCCGGCAGGTGGTGGCTTCTTCCTGTGACACTGAAAGCAGCATCAACAGATAAGTTACACTTCCGAATTTAAACTTTCGCTCCAAAGTCACTGTCAAGACAGTGAAAAGACAATAACCCAAAGCACGGGAGAAAGCTAGCTGACAAGAGACTTGTATCTAGAATAGGTAAAGAACTCTTACAACTGAGAAGCAGAGAGAATCAAATAAAAAACAGGCAAGGGATCTGAACAGTCATTGCTCCTAAGACGACGTGCAAGTGGCGAGTAAGCACATGAGAGAAAGCACAGCGCAAGCCAGCTAAGGACAACCTAAGCCGGAGCCTCCCCTGACCACCCACGGAATGGCCACTCTCTAGAAGACAGAAAAAACCAAGTTTGCAGGATGTGGAGAACTGGGCCCTCACACACTGACGGCATAATTATTTGTCAAAGAGTTTCCTCAGAAAGGCAACAGAGTTACCATAGAACCCAGCAACTCCACTTGTGGGTATGTACCCAAGGAATGAAAACTGACTCTGCCACAACTGAGGGAGAAGCCCTGCAGTGTGGAAAGACAAACGGGCGTAACACCTCACCAATGGATCTCAAAACGCACATCTCACATCTGTATGTAACACAGACATTCAGACTTCATTCACCACATCAAAGGGCAGAAACGAGCGCAACGGGAGAGACGTGTGGGCGGCCACACCAGGTGCCACGGGCCGTGGAAGGAGAGAGGCGATGCGTACCAGGTGGATGAAGCCTGAAGACACTGTGTAAGAGAAAGCCAGACTCAAAGGCCCTGTGTTGTTAGTTCCATTTACATAAAACACCCAAACAGGCAAATCCACAGAGAAAATAGATTAAGGTTGGCAGAGGCGATGGGGGAAAGAGTGGGGAGAGGAGAGTGACTGGATTTCTTTTAGGGGTGCTCAACGTGTTCAAGTCAGACAGCAGAGGTGGTTGCTTTTCTGGTGTATGTATTCTGGATAAAGCAGTCACAAAAATGAAAAAAGACCTCTGAGGTTTAAGAGGTAGAGAAGGCGGACCTCTCGCCTCTGCTGGCTGCAGCCTAAGATGACACAACTCCTTCGGAAATAGTCTGGCAGGTTCTTAAAAAGTGAACTATAGACTTCACTCGTGACCTGAGCATTTCTCCAAGAGGAATGAGGGTGTGTGTCCCGACGGAGCCCGTACATAGCTCACGGCGGCTTGCTCATCATTCCCCAAGCTGGCAACAGCCCAAGCACACCTGAGCTGCTGGCAGGCATGTGCCGTGCGCGGGCACAACAGGCACTGCTCGGCAGAACATGGGCTCTCCACCTGGCAACGCGGGGGGCGGGGAGTGGGGAGACGGGCCAGAGAAGGAAAGGAGGCGCACACTGTGCCGCAGATACCCCAAGTGTGAAACTGGGAAATACAAGCCCATGAGAACGGAGAGCAAGTCAGGGGCTGGCTTGGCGATGGGCAGAGAGATGAAACGGAGGGCGGACATCTGGCGGTGAGTGACAAGGTTGCTGCCTCGACGGTGGCGACAGCCTCGTGAACATGCACACGTCAAACTTCAGCAGATGCACTTTAAATGCACGCAGCGCCTGCAAAGTCACTCACACCGGGTTCACGGTAGCGTACCTGCAGCGCCTCCTGGTCCGGGGGCGCCTGCCCGGGCCTGCGGGACGCGCTCAGCATCTCCCGCAGCACCTTCACATGGCTGCGCACTTCCTCCACAGCACTGGCCCTCTTGGACACCTTCTCTGACTTTTCTTGTTCCTTTGGAAAAAGGGAAGGATGGGTGGAGAAAGGCCTGAAGAGCTCAGAGGTCACGAAGCGTGTGAAGAGTTCGGGGAAGGACCATGCAGAGGGGGGTCTGGGGGGGCTGCCAACTCGTACCCCAGCCTCAATCTCCCTGAAAAACAGATTGCCAGACCTGGACTTTGTCCACACCAATACCCATCATGGGACAGAAGCTGGCGTGGATGAAGTGCTTTGAGCTCCTAGACGTACAGTTTCTGTTGCAGTCACCACCGAGCTGCCGCCAAAGGGCAGCATGACCACGCCCCAGTGCAGGGCTCCCTCCAGGTGCTGCCCGCCCCCCACCCCTACCCCAAGCACATCTCGGCCATCGTGCAGCCCTGCCAAAGGCCGGTTCAGAAAGGCCCACTGGAAAAACGCCCACCTCCTTCACCAAAGTCTTGATCAGCTGGTTCGCGGCCTGAAGATCCTCAGGGTGGTTGCTCTTCAGAAGCCTGGTCAGAAGCTGAGGGTAACGAGAGGAGCAGAGAGCTGAATCCTCCATCAAATGGCCCAAGCAGCAGCGGCCCAGCAGGAGAATCAACACTAATAATCAACAGCTCGCGTATGTTACATCAATCATCCCACCAACAAACGCTCACAGGGCACTACGATGTCGGTGTGATAACTCTCCCGTAACCACTAGGTAGGGAGGTGAGGATTATATCCCCCAGGGCACATTTAGTAAAGTCTGGAGACCATTTTTTTGGGGTGTCACAACTGTCTAGACACCAGGCCAACTCACTCCTAAGGACTGCTCCAGAGAGAACTCACCAACCTACTTCCCCACACTCCCCACTGTGGCTCAGACCCAGGGGCATTTTGGGAGAGGCTCCAAAAGGAGAGGTCTGATCAGACTTCAGGTCAGGGAGCTGTTCCTTACCTTTGACTTTTCTTCATCAGCATCAAAGATGGAGCTCTTGGGCCAGGGAGAAGGTGGAGGCAAGATTTTATCCATGGGTAGTTTAGGGTCTTGCTTTATGATACCTACAACACACAATTCATGAGATTAGGACACTGATGTGGGTACTTGCTGGTGTCAGCAGGATGCAGTCTAAAGTCCAGAAACCCTGCTTCCTGAGCCTACAGGAAAACACCATCAGCAACCTTAAAGGAATTCACTCAGGAGTGAACCGGCCCCAAGGGAACCCAAGGAGCCAGCCAAAGACAGGGAATCAGAGCTAACGAGGCGGAGCCAGCTCAAGAGCTGGCGATCTCTGAGCCTCATGCCATGAAAACACTGCTCATTTCATGCAGGTGTGTAACCAGGACGCTCAAGTGCTGTTGGATTCCTGACAGTCCTAGAAACATTAAGTGAGCACCTGTGACGGGGAACATAAGCCAGGTTCCCTCCCCTAGACAGGCCCCTGGACAAGGGACACAGACAGCAAGAGGGTCACTCCAACCCTGGCAGCACTGGCCAATAAACACTGGCACACACATCTCTTCTTGAATCCATCATGATGCTGAGATCACAGGACAGCAACCAATTGACCTGAAATCTAAGGGGAAAGAGGGCCTCTATGGAGAGGCAACACCTTATAAATTCAGCTAGCCAGCACCTCCTGTGGAATCAGAGCCTCGCTGGGGTACAGGACAAAAGACCCAAAGCTGAGAGTGGAACAGATTGTGAGGGAAAAAACAAAAAACCTCTATCAGTCCCACCTGAAATATGAGCTAACACAAGCAGTTAGAAAGCTATATAGTGAGGATAACCTCAGTGGAACCATCTCAAAATCAGCCTGGCTCCTGTCCACCAGACGGAAATGTCTGCCCATTCCAGGGGTTAAAATGATCTGCCTGTCACTACTGTCCTCGAGAACTCGGAAAGCACAGTGGAAGCACACGGGCAGCGGCGGACCAGACCTTGTTTCTTCAGCATCTGATAAGCATCTCGAATCTTGATATCTTCTGGAAACCAGACTGTCCAACTGAAAAGTATTTCAATGATTCTTCCTTTAACTTTTTCTGTGGTCCAGGACCCGAGGTACTGAAAATTAAATGAAAGGAGAATTACAGTGCAGGAAGGGCCCTGGCAGAGCATAGCTGTGCGGCCCAGAGATGAGCTGCCCCAGGTTGGTTAAGAGCTGAGGCACAACTAGAGGCCAACTTTTCTGACACCCAACCCCAGGCTCCAAGTTTCAAGGAGTCAACCCCTAAAGCTTTTTTTTCCCTTAAAGCCCACCAGCCCATGGGGGAGACTCATTTTTTGACTAGAGCAAGTTCAGAATAATAAAATATATATTTGGTCTTCAGGCCCTTATCAGGCACTGGTTCTCAAATACCTTTGCAATTATCCAAGTAACAGGAATGTCTTTTGTTATTCACAGCCTCCCTCCTCCCTCTGGACCTCCTCAGCCTCAAAAGAGGGGCTGGTCACTCCTGAAAGACCAGTCACAGGTCAGAGGACCACAACAGTGAGACTCGTCCAGACCCCAGGAGGGGAGGGGCTAGAGACAATGAGCAGCGTGCCCTGGGCCAAGGAGAAGACAGCAGCCTGCAGGAACAGATGGACACATGGCAACGATTTTATCTTCATGCCTACAGAGGACTCCAGATAAGAACTTTCAAATAGTGGGTTCAGGAGGCTTCCTGCCTACACACGGATGTGCTGGGAGGGTGCCCAGGTGGCACAGGAGAGGATACAGATGCTCTGGCCCTCTCTGACCCCAGGACTCTGTGCTGTCGCTCTCCGTTTATATCTCTTATAAAGGATGAAAGTACAGTGCTTTCTTATGTTCTGTGAGTCTTTCTAATGAGCTACAGAATCTGGGTGGAGGTCATGGGAACCCCCAAGTTTGTAACTGACTGGGCAAAAGTGCAAGTAGCTGGGGGATGCCTGAGACTCGTGGTTAGGGCCTGGAGGAAGTGTAGTCTAGGTAGGACTGAGTCCCTAAATATAGAGTCTTTGTTAATTCTGGGGAGATGGTGTGAGAACTGAAATGAATTACATCAGAGGACACATAGCTGGAATAAGAGAACTGCTGTTGAGATGCAGCAAGGAAGGGCCCATCAACGGGGCTTCCTGAAACAGGTCAGGAAGAAAGCTGCAGGGGACAAGGAGAAGTGATGTGAACCCTAAAGGCACACTAGGTTCTCTCTTGCCATCTCTACCAGGAAAACAGTGCCCACAAGCTGGGGATTCCCGCTCACAAGGCCATCTTGAAAGGGAGAACTGGAGAACGCTAACAATGCAAGGGCGGGGGCCAGCTCACGAGCCCAACAGTCACCCTGGGCCCTGGCAAGGCCCGTCTCTCTCAGCACTCAGACGGAGCCAGGCGGCAGGGCCTGTGCACGTGCGGGCCAGCCTGTGGACTGAGGAAAATAGGGGAGCTTGCAGTTGGGGACAGGTGAGTACCGTGAGCAGGGTTGGTCCCGGGCACTCACCTTTGGGGACAACACTTTGATCAGCTCATTCAGGAAGCGGAACTTGGCCACCTCGCTGTGGAACTTCTCTCCACAGTGGTTCACACATGTCTCCAGCACCTGCATAGATGCAGGACCCCATGAGCAGAAAACGCATGGGCTCCACGGCTCACCTCAAATCCGTTGAGCATCTACTGGAACTATGGCTGGTGTTTCTTCGGGACTTTGAAGACATGAAGTTTTAGAAAAAGGGTGACATTTTCAGATTAAGAAAAATGCCACCTGCTTGATCTTGCTGTATCTGTCAACCAGGAAATAGCACAGTGTGCTATGTACCCGGAGGCCACCCCCCTTCTAAGGAGACCCTTGGGACACCGTGTTCACTTCCTCCTCCAAGGCAGCAATTTGAGACCCAGCATTCAAGAACTGCTGTGCCGGGGCCCCACGGCACTCAGTGGCAGGCTGGCTGTGACACGTTTGCTTTGGTCCACGCTGCTGTTTCACAAGTCACAAGTCACCGACACTAAAAATTCAGAGGCTGCATGTCAAAATCTGGATTTCTGGTTTCTCTTAATAAAAAGGAAGTTGTAGCACAAATGTTGGCGAGGATGTGGAGAAAAAGGAACTCTTCTGCACTGCTGGTGGGAATGCAAACTAGT